GGCAATAAAATTTACGGCCGAAATATCTGACACTGAGACAATCTTTTTAGACCCCGTTGTATACAAAGGCACAACATTCAACGATCAAAGGCTCCTAGGAGCGAGCTCATGGATGAATTGAATTAGTGTAGAAAAGAAAGTTCAATAATCAAAGAAAAACATATAAATCTTTTTGAACGGTTCATGGTGTACGGACTTGCCAAGATACAGCGTGACTCGAAGAATCCGATTGCATGTGTACCTGAATATTCTAGAAACTTAATTTTTACCAGCGCAGCATTTCTACTTACAAAGCAAAGATCACTTTTAAAAGCAATTATTAACGCTTTTTAGTTGTAAAATAATTTGCTTTCTCATGTGACTGTCAAACACTTTCCGAACGACAGTGCACTTTCTTGTAAAATAGCCAAGTTTTACATACATGAGTTTTATTTAAACCGTGGTTTTAAAAGTGCGATGCTTTCAAATAAATGTTTCCATATGATGAGTACGTAACGGTTAGTATGTACGAGCTATATTTAATACAGAATACAGGCGTTTATGGCTAAATTGAACTGATAGAACGCGCTTTTGATAAACACGAGCTAAAAATTATTTTAATACATGTAAAACGGATTAAGCTCAAAGCAGTACGTGCTCTGACCTAGCCAAGTAATTTAAACACAGTCGAAGTATCCGACTGCCTTTCGCCAGAGACTTGTTTATACCAGCGCAGCATTTCTCGTAGAAATTACATTAATAGCACTGCTAAATGGAATCACCGACAAACAAAAGCCTACTTTAAGGCAAAGATCACCTAAGAATTCAAGCAAAATAGCGTAACGTTTGTTGGTTCTAAAACCTGTGCTTCTAGTTGACACAACATTAATTCATTCCCTGTTTGCATACGAAGACTAATGGTCGAACGGATTCGTCCAAATAACTGAATAAACCTCAACAGATACTCCTCAATGTCGCTTTAACAATTCGAGGACAGTTTTTTGCAGTGATTATAAGGCTCTTTGGCTTTCGCTTTTCGCTGAACGAAATCCCATCGTCAGGCTGCAATAGCTCTTTCACACTCCTGTTGATCGCATCTCATGGCATCTTCTCCGTATCAAGTACAATATCGGGAACAAATGTGCACAATTCGTCCAAATATACAACAATGATTCACGCTAAATTATTATTTCAATGTCCTTTTAACAATTCTAAGTCCATTTCTTGCGGATGATATTATCAGTGTTCTTTAAAATATTGTTATTTATACAAAACCCATCTCTATAATTGGGAAACAAAAATTCGCCTTGCTAGTACCCACTAGAATATTTCAAACATGTACGTAAAAGGCACTTGGAAAAAAAGTAATACTAAGTAAGGGAGGTATAGGAGTAACGTGTTTAATCTGACTTTACTGAATAAATTAATGAGAATCGAGTGAGTGAGTGAGTGAGTGAGTGAGTGAGTGATCGAGTGCCATTCGAGTGCCCCCAAAAGCCCATGGCATGACTACGTCATCCATGAGCTAAAAAATGAGAAAAAGCTATCATTGACGTAAAGACGCATTTTAAACGGAAACCTTCCAGTATATACATTTTCACCTCTTACCACCCACCAATTGTTAAAATGGATTTGACAAACAGGAAGCCTTGAGAATCCTACGAACCAACTCCTCTGAGGAAGTATTTCAGATTTCAAAAACCGGTTGATGGACAGACGCTGGCCACACAATTTTGAAATAAAAATTGCTATTAGAAGTAAAACTCACAGAAGGAAAGCAGCGCTCCTGAAACAAAACAACAAGGAAGAAAAAGAAATATTGTCTTTCGTGACACAATACAAGCCCTTCAGTGTCTATTATGAAAGAAGCTTTAATGAAAAAGTGTAATCTCATACAAAACCAAACACTACCTTGCCAACTTAACCCTCGGACGTACACGCAAAATCATACCCCCCACCATGGTACAATAGGAGGGTAGATGGAACCCCTCCCCAGAGTTTTTGATTTTGCCTTCACTGAAAAGCCTTTGATCTTCTTAACAAGATGAGGTATATTTTTACGTATATATCATTGTGACACATCCGTGCAAATCTGCTTTCAGGAGAAATTTAGTTTTTCTTCAAGTCGGCTTTCAAGTTCAAGGATACATGTTACAAACAGAAAAACCAAGTTACGAAGTGAGCAGCTTACTAGGTTAGTAATTCATTTATAATGTGTAAGTGTTCAACCTTGGTTTTTCTATTTATATCATATAGCAGAGGTCGCTTACGTCCAGTATGTGAAACACGCCGACCTAAACATTTACTGGTTTTGGATAATTTTTAAACCACCGTTTGAGGAACATTAAAGCTTCTTGTATAGCAAAAATGTTCTTTTTTGTTTCTCGCTTAGTTCAGATGGTAGAGCGCTACCGTCGCTCTCGGGTGGAAACCTCGGCGGTACCGCAAATAGCTGGCTTTAGGTTCGGCCTTGTCTCAGTTCATCATGATCGATTCATTTTCTTAGGAACCGACTTTGGCCTTGTTTACTTTCGTCTCTCCCACGGATATTTTTTCATCAGAGCCTGATCTCTGGTTGTTACTCCATACTGACGAGCCCCAAAGAGGGAAAAACAGCTGTCTATGGCTACATCCCGCTCTGTTTTGAGTTCTTTCGGTGTTGTGTTGATGCCTTAACTTGCAGAGTTAATTTTCAGGTAGTACGATCAGCATTGCAGTATTCTGCTTGCAGAATTTAATATGTCTACATTTTTTTCACTGTTTTGTCACGTCAAGTCAACCTTTATTTAGGTAGGGTGGCCCTATCAGCCCTTTACCGGTATCAACAGAAGCCCTGCGTAAGTTATGAATCCTTTCATCCTTCCCTACCAAGTTCAGAGGGAAGTAAAGAATATGCAATAACTGTTTGAAAAGATTAGGGGCCGTAGAACCTTCTTGCATGATTCTTGTTTCACTGTTAAGTCAAGTCAAAGCTAATTTAGGAAGCTTAGCCCTATCGGCACTTGGCCGATATAAAGAGATGTCCTGCGTAAATGGACTATAAAATAAAAATTTGAATATGTACTGGGACTTTAAAATAGTCAATAAAAGGACCGCTTCAATAAAAATCAAAGTGAACTGCAGTTATTATAAATTTAAGAAGAATGTGAGAACTAATTAAGTCACGCAAGTATGATTATGTGGAAACGTCGACCGATTTGAACCACAGTGTGCAAGCTGTTGAATTGTGGTGTGCTGAAGTTTCTTATTGAGACTATTCTTTGTGGGTACAATGAGGGAAGGGAAAGAATCTTTCTTCAAAACTTTGTTGATCAATTTTTGAAGTTCCCATCTTACTGTAAAATATTTTTAATATATATTTTTGTTTCAGGTGACATTGGTGGAAACATGGGTCTCTTCTTGGGCTGTAGTTTATTGACTTTGTTTGAGTTTGTTCATTTCCTTTGGAATTTCTTAACATTCCGAGCGAACAGAGTTAAACATGTTAAAGGCAAACCGCAGTGTAACTCTGACTCGGGAGAAGTATGAGATATCAATTCTGATCAAGTAAAAATAGTTCGCTGCACGTTTATCCAAACCTAAAATAGAGGACAAAAACCAATTTGGTGACGTGCAAAACAAGGTCATCAGCAAAAAAAAAAAATTAACACACACTGCTTCGATCGTCTATTAGCAAGAAATGGCTATTTTATTCTATTCTCCTGAAAGTTACGGTTAATTTAAATAAAAATCTTTTTTCAGCATTATTACGGTGGAATCTCGATAGAAAGGGGAACTGGCAAGACATATAAACTGAATATTTTCGTTATATCGACGTCTTTTCCATATATTTTATGGAGCGAAGCCTATTGTTCGTTATACAGAGGACTTGTTTTCATCGAGGCTCCACTGTAACTTTTAAGCAGGAAGCGCTATTCTCCCTCTATTCCTTAATTTCTCTGTATTTTTAACCTATCGCTGTTGCTTTTCCGTCGTTGACTTGTTCCCCTATCGACTGGTTCATTCTCCAAAAATCGCCGTGTAACAGTGAATTGAATCAGTGTCTTATTTCCAATAGCGGAACCCTAAAACAAAAGCTGAATATGTTGCTTTTAGCCCTGGCTAACTCTATACATTAGACAACAACAAATCATAGAGCGCGTAGAATTAAGTGAGTTACATACATCATGGGCTATTTCGAGAAATGTTGTCGGAAAAATGTGCACACGACAATCCCGAAAGGTGATATGGGATATGATCGATACACTGTTCCTGACGACTGTAGCTGTGGAACCTACTTTTGTTGCTTTCCGTTAGCGCTTGCAAACACATTTTCATGGCCTTTCGTGCCAATTCTTTTAAATTTCTCTGAAGAACAGTGAACTCAAAACCACCCACAATGCCTTTCGGGATTGTCGGGTGCACTTTTTCCGACAACCTTTTTCTCGAAAAAGCTGTATACTGTGTAAATGAGGTCATAAACATAACAGCTTGAGTGTAAAGGGCATCAATAGAGCGTAAATAAATCGTTTGCATAAAAAAAGAGTTTAGCTCCGACTGGATTTTGTCTGGAACAAGAACATAGCAGCCGTTTCATTGGTTGGGAACTCCATTGGCCCCAGTGACGACCTGTGAAAACACTTTATTTGCACTCTGTATGATACGCTTCGCAACAAATTTTTCGATAAAATCATTAACAAATATAACCTTTTTAACGATTTAGATGTAGAATCAAGAATTTTTTTCCTCTTTAACAATATTGATCCATTTATTTTTAAATCAGTTGCTGCTTTTGTTTTTGAGGTTATGACTGAATTGTAGACACTAGCTATCATGTAATTTTAAAAGTGAATTAACAAATTAATTTTAAAATTACTTTTTACAGGGGCACCCAACGTCAATTTTTGGAAAATATCTGTTCGGAAAACGATTTGAGATCTCGAATTTTTGGAGCATTTGTCGTAAAATTTCTTGCTTGCCTGCCTCTCCTAGGATTTTCGAACATCTAAAAAATTGTATAATTGCCCATTTTTAACGGATTTTTACCCTAAAAAGGTCACCTAGAATTTTCGGGAGCCTTTTTTCTAGCTGAAATTTTCGAAAAGGTAGCTTTTGATCCCTATCATTTTCGGATCACTAGACTGTTAGCTAGGAAATCCGAACAGATGAAAAATTTTTAGGGGATAAAAATATGACTATATCTACCGTTTAAATACTAAAATACGTTCAACATTGCTATGTTTAAGTGGTTTTCAACTATACTCTCGTTGGGTGCCCCTGTTTTTAGAGAGTAGGTAATGCCATGTATGTAAATGGAAATACCTTAATACCTTGTTGTTGTTGCTGTTGTTGTACTTAAATAGAAGACAATGCTGGCAATTTTCAATTAATCTGTTAATGAATGTAAATTTTTAGCTCAATCGTCTCATAAACTGCTCAAATTTAAACGCTTTCAAAGACGTTGACCAAGCAATGTTTACCTCATGATTTTATTCATGAAAGGTTTCTCCCTCTATCTTAAATCAAAACTTAACCTGTGCAAGGCGCAGCTGGCCCCTTCCAGATTCCAAGGGAAAAGCCCAGTATGTGGAAAAGATCGAAGAATGAATAAATTACAAAAGGGAGGTGAAATTCAACAGCAAATCCAAAAACTTCGGTTGCTCTTAATTCCAGGAAATTGTTTAAAACCTTTTAAGGTGATGTTCCACGGTACGATTCGTAACGACGATTTTTGGCGCTACACAGCGTTGCAATGTTGGAACAATGTTGCAACTATTCCAATCAATGTCGTAACAATGTTGCAACGCTGTGTTGCGCTTAAAATCGCTGTTGAGAATCGTCTCGTGTAACATCACCTTTACTCATCTGCTCTTCCAGCGTCACGGTCACCACGGGTACGCTTGCTCTCGGAATTTTATGTAGCGCACGCGCGGAAGTAACGAAATGCTTTGTTGCCAACGAACGCGAACCACTGCACATCATTTCTTTCATCTTCTGCCTGAATCTTTCGTTTATCAAAGCGTAAGCAAAAGGATTGACAGCAGCGTTGAACATAATCACTACGTGCGCAATAGGAATTGCTAAAGGACTCAACTTAAAGGAGCGATCCTCCAAAATGTGCAGCACAGTGTCTCCTCCCCAAGAAATTACAAATATGGCGCTGACAGAGACAACCATCAAGGTGACTCGCTTCCGCAACCTCAGTACAGTCTGTGTACAAAACAATGATACATTAGAACAGGCACCCCAAGCTTGCAATAGGGAGCAGTGAGCAAAGACGTTTTTGAGCGACAATTGTCAACCGGAACTGAGACTATTCGCATTCTCGGGCCGTGGTTTTGCCCTAATTTTAAGGCAGGTCTTCTCTTTATGAGTAAGACGCTAAGTAATACAAATTTAGCCGCGTAAAGGCACAGTGGAATGAAAAGACTAAACTTCCAGTTGACGTGCGTTGCTCAAAAACTTCTCTGCTTAAACTCCCAAATATTGCTCTTCTCCAACACTGTAAGAATGTACACAGTTAAATCAACTTTTAAGTAACGTTTATGTCCTTTGAACTTTAGATCTCGCTTAAAATTAGCCTAAAGACCCCTAACTTTAAGGAGTGCGACCCATATTACAATATAGTAATGAAACCTACTGAGGAGAAGAATTTCCTGTCAGTATTTATTCTTCTCTTAATGATCACTTTTAAACTTGCAAGAGAATTATCAAGCTAACTATGAAAGAGAAGGAGAGAATTAGGTACGAATTCAGTAGAGTTAAAGCCGACGCTCTTGGGGAATTGCCATTGACACAAGCATTATATTTTTGTGTGGTGATAATGATCTTCCGTTTATTCTTTTTTTCTAGCTGCTTTTCGATACGTTGCTAAATATTAATGACACATTTACAATAAAGAATGATGATGATTTTTGACTTCTTTTTACAAGGCTAGCCTGCAAGAAAGCTCTCCATTTAAAAATCGAGCGAGGAACAAATCTAACGCTCGAATGATTAAGGCTTCGCCCGCCGCTCGCCCAGTCGCGCGAGACCCTTTGCCTCGGCTCGAGTCCAGAACTGAGAGCGTACTTTCAGGCTATAACAAGGCTAATACCCGTTGCTGATGTTTGAGTACATCATCACTTGGCTTGAACCACAAGGCATACACAACTCTGGAGTATAACACGACCAACAATGCTATGAGAAAAAACTTCAAAACACGAAAAGCAATACCAGTGGTCTTTTTCGTCTCCGTTGGCAATGAGGAAACACATGAGTGGGAAGTGGCATCAAAAGTTCTCTTCGCGGATGGTATTCTATAAATAATTGCTATGATCCAAATACCGGGAATAACAACCTAAAAAAAGTATGTACAATGGTTAGGTCTGATTAGCTGTCACAATGTCGGTTATGCTCACAATATGTGATCATTTTGTAGCTGGGTTTCGTTTCATGATGTAGTTTTAGTCTTGTAAGCGCTGTCTTATCAGTTTTAATGAATCCGTATCAGTGAATGTGCTGTGTGACCCCTGCGTACCCGAGAAAGACTCTGCATGAATCGACTAAGATCCTAAGTGTTGGGCAAGATGCTCCTTGTTGCTGTGATACAGGTTTAAACCCAGGCCTAATGATTATAATAGCCATGCGCTTGATGCGGCGCGCTCAGTTATGAACATCGGTTTATCGTCAATAAACTGAAGTTCGCACTCGGAAAACCAGTTTGACAAAAGAAAACAAGATTGACTAGTACAGAAGTTCGAGCTTCCGCGTGTCTCTGCTCGCAGGGTAGTGGTGTGTGATTTTTCTTCTTAAATTTAATGGCAGCGCTCTGCGGTCGCTGAGAACGGACATATTACGGACCCCGGTCTTAACCATATTTGTCCAATTTTTTAGTTCTCTTAATACTTCAATTCCAATGGCATGAAAGTCAGGCTAGTACTCTATTTAATTGGCTAAACGAGGAGGCTCCAACCGAAAGGCGGAGGGATATTTCGCGAATATAGCGTAGACTCCGTCTCTCACGACCGCAGATAGGAGTGGAAGGCCGGCTAAACCAATCACAAAGCGTGGGAATGAGCATTGTGATTGTGTATTCTTCCGCTTCTGCTGCCGACCCCGACAATCTGCACTTGATCGTAAACGTCCGAGTCGTAAGCGGAGTCAGAAGAAAATGAAAACGTTCTGATTCTTCCGACTCCCATTTTTTCGTTGTCGTAGTCGCAGTCGTAATCATAATCATCACCATAATCGTAACCGTAACCGTAATAGTAATCGTAAATCATTATTAATTATTGTAGTCGAAGTCGTCGTAATCAAAATTTTAATCATAAAGTCGAAACGGGCGCAATTTACGACCCAAAATAAACTAAAATGAAGAAATAGTCGGTACAATTGCGCTTGAAATACTCAAGTTTTCGCGTTTTCTCCAAACGGGAAAAATATTCTCCTCGCATTGAAACGGCAGCCGGCAAACGGCAAACGCGGGAAAAGTCAGGTCACGTGACCCTCTCTGTCGTTCGCGGGAAAAATATGAGCGATATACTTGAATATCACAAACCTTGAGTTTGCGATTTGTTAGTTTTCCTTTGTTTCCATGGGGATGAACCACTGCAAAGTACCTTTCAATGGCGATGACAAGCAGAGTGATCATAGAAGCACGGCCACCAGCCCAAGATAAGTTCCCACCTGTTAACGTTGTGCATAATAATGTGCCAGCAAGACCCTCAGGGTGGTAAACATGGTGGCTTAAAATGATATTGGGTACCGCAAATGTCGCGTAAGAGATATCCGCTGCTGCTAGGTTTACAAGTAGATAGTTGAAAGGAATCCTGCGGATTAGGTGCACAGTTCAACATCAACAACAACAACAATAACAACAACAATCTTTGTTTGTACTCACTCTTACTCCAAAATTAAGGAGAAAAAAAGAGGAAAACGCAGCTTTGATAAGCTAAATTCATTGTAAATTTAACGAAGCTCAAAAATTACCGCCCTCCTTCTCGCTGACCTCTGACCATCTAAGTTATAAGTTGAGAATAGGGACCTTGAGATCCGACGGCTACGGCGGCGAAAACTTTGCTTAAAATTTGAATTCCAGTTCTTTCAATTTTGATAGCAATTGTTAGAGCTCACTCACTTGTCAAATACAAGCGAACTCTCCAATTTAACAAAGTACGTAAGTGAGCTGGAATAATGTCGATGAAAATTGAAGGAACGCAAATTCACTTTTTAAGCGACGTTTCTGCTGAAGTCGGCTTCCTCGGATCTTGTAAGATCATAGGGATTTCTAAGGCTATTCCACACCCGTATATACCGGAGAGGGCTTCTGTTCACAAATAATAAATTATGATTTCGGCGCGATTTCTGTAACGTAGTGTAGCTACAGTGGAGAGACACATATCGGATATGTTCTGTTCCACACATTGGTGTATTGTGAAGGGTATTCGGACCATAGCAGCAGTGAATAAAGAGGAGCTAGGACTGGAATCGGCTGAGACGGAAGTAACTATTCAGTAGTGAGGACGAGGATTAAGGCTCACCAATCCCTCTCGGATAACTGTTCGAGTGTGTGTGAATGACTTGTTCCAGTTCTACTGCGTTGCTGCTCATACTATAACGGCTAGCTTTTCATGTCGGTAGGAAAAGATATCCGGCATATAAAGTGTGAACCTAGCTAAAAGCTATCATGTATGTATAGTGCGAACATACCTTAAATCCTCTATTAAGCCCCCCCGGAGAGCTTATTCATTTCACACATTTGAGGGGGGGGGACTTTACAGAGACTTGGGGGCTTATTTGAGAGGGGGCATATTTATATTCAATTTAGCATAGAAGATGGTGTGAATTCTCCACAAAGAGCAAGAATGCAAAGTGGAAAAGCTCAAGTACAAGAAGTTGGAGATCACACAGCTGAAGATCAAAAACAACTTCCAGTTGGCGAATAAACCATCCTGGATCAGTCCACACAAAGTTTTACAGTCGCAATACACTTCTGACAGTCGTGATTGATTAATACGATGTATTATTTATCAGTGAATAATAATAAGGGGGAGGGGAGGAGAGGGGGCTTACCAACTTTCTTCACCTGAAAAAGGAGAGCTTATTAGAGTGGGGAGCGGGAGGAGGGGGGCTTATTTGAGAGGGGGGCTTAATAGATGTTTTACAGAAGCCTAATTTATTCATCGCCCTCGACATCATAATCGCTTCCTGTTGTTATTGAAGCGTAAGTCCATTATTCTAGAATTGTTTTATGTACCTCATGTCCCTATTTCTCAGCAATACGACACACACGAAACAGTTTCCCGAGATGCAAGTGACAATTAATATGGAGTTTGCTATTGTTATGGCGACATGAGGTGGATCAGACATCTTGAAGGATATCCAAGTCGTGTTCATGTAATCTGGATGGAAATACAACAAAGACAATAACAACAAACTAATTGTATATATATATCTGTCAGAATCATTTTGTTTGCCAACCTTAATTTACCTTAAATAATTTAATCCAACGAAAAGCAATTGATATATTTAAAACAGCAAAGATAAAAATTAAGACTCTAACAGGTTATTTCCGCTGCCGTAAGCCTCTGTTTCAAAGTGAGGCTAAGTGCGAAGCGATTGATGTGAAATCTTGGGTACTTCTTAGTGTTGTGGAAACCATTGTTGGTTCACTTTTGTGTCGTGGTCTGGGTATTGTTAAGTGTCTTTTAAAACTTTTGTATTGCTAGTTTTTTTCAATCTTTAGTATTAATACATTTTTTTTCTCATGATAAAACTAATTTTCACAAGAAAAGTTTTGCACTTATATTCGGCCTCGTTTTGAAAGTGAGAGTTATTGGAACTCGGAAATGGAATACTAGTTTTACTAAAACTTTTCAGTTTATCTGGGTTAAGCTTAAAAGTAGTTTCTGTGTTAGGCAAAAAAGGACTGTGCTTTAAACAAGCGAGTGTAGGCCCAGAAAACCGATTGGATTACAGGGCTATTTGTTTCCTCAAATCTTAACTATGCTCATTTTTCCTGGTGTCTTGACTGGTCCTTGGAAGCTACTACTTGACACTACGGCTGCACCAATTTTAAGGACTCTCGTACAGTTGTTTGGGAACTTATTGAACGATTCTACAGATTCTACAGATTTTACCAATTTGCGCAGTTTTTAGTATTGTAACCTAGCTAGGTCAATTTAGGTCTTAGTTTGGCGATCTTTTAGTTACCCGAAAAGCAGGGGCGGATCCAGGATTTTTCTTAGGAAGGAGTGCACCGCTAAGCAATGGCGTAACTAACTGGTGACGTAAACAAATTTTAATACAGAATACTAGTTGTTTTAGAAAGCCGCAGGTCATCTCGGGGGAAGGGGGGTGCACCCCCTACATCCTCCCCCTAGATCGGCCCCTGTACAGAGGGCGGACAAGCTAAACTCTGCATAGAAAGCCTGCATAGAAAGGGACTTAAAGTGTATGAGAAGCTGAGACTATTTATAACTCCCTTTTTCAATCCTTGTATCCCGACCTTGTAAAATCAGTGCCAGTGAGGTTAGATGGTGCACTTTTGACGTTTGTAGTAAACACAGGTGATTCCAACTAAGGGCAATCGGCAACGGGAACTGGCTTCTTAAAGTTCATTGTTTTCATTGGCGAGGGAAACCATTTTTGGCTTCTTTCTAAAGGTTATTGAGAATAATTGATTAAGTAGGACCTTTAAGTTAACATGCCCACTTTTAGAATTAAATAAACAAATTTTTTCTTTCTTTCACACCTAAAAATCCATGTTATCTGAGAGCAGTGAGATCACAAGTTAAATTTTAGTTTCTTCACTTCAAAAATACACTATCATGAACACAGTCTTTGAGAGCGAGGGTTGAGCAGTATTCGTTTTATGACGCCAAAAACACATCTGAACAACACACGAATCTACTAAGCTACGAAGCATACAGAAAGACTGAATTATAATACTTAAGATACCAGATAATAGCTTTGTGATTGCTAATTTTGCCTTCACATGAAATTACTGCGACAAGAAATCCTTATGACATGGAGGGCAGAATGGCTTCATACTAAGGGGGCATTTTGAGATAAGTTAAGAGCAATTAATTACTTGATAGTGATTGGTCGAAGAGAACTTAAACCCGTCTCAAACGTCGAACTTCACAAGAGGAGTAAAATCTATAGTTCTCGCTCATCTACATTTTTCATGAGATATCGACGTTTGAAACGGGCCTCAGCTGTCATAATTGCAACTGCCACCATACCGCGTGAAGTAACAATTTTTGTCATTTAGGGTGAATAAAAACTTAGAAATTCATTGAAAATTAGTTTTCTATGTACTTTTTCCCTAGATTTGAAATTAGCTTTGTAAGCAACAGTTATAGAAATATCCTCCATATCCGATTTAGAAAAATGTTTTCTTACCAGTTAGATGGACGTGGAATCTCTTTTTTAAGTAGCTTGCAAATTTCTCATAGCGGGGTTGCAGTATTTTCGAAGGTAACGAGCAAACGCAAATGTTAGCTCTCTTTAATTAAATATGTTTCACTTAAATTCGTAGATTACACCTAATTACAATAACGTTGTCATTGAAAAATAATGAAAAAGGAGAGCAAAAAAATTAGGCACGATCACTCACTTTTTTCAGGGATCTGGTCTGACGAAAGGAGAAAGAAGAAAACGTCTTCGCGTTGGCCAATTCAACTTCTCTCAAATCAGCAACTGATGTTGAAATGAAGCATTATACCGCACTGTATAGAAAGTGTTTATAATAGAATTATGTAAACACCAAAAAATAATATCCGTGGCTGATGAATATTTCTATTTCAGCGACCTTATAGCACTGCGGAAGACCTCACGGGATTGGTTGGGAAAACAAAGAAAAAACAAAGTTGACAATATAAATAATTGAACCTAGCTCGAATTTTGAAAGAGCTGTGACGGCTAGAGGTCCAATTAAATTAGAGGTTCTAAAGGGTCTGGCTTTTTGTTTTTTGCTTTTTTGTATGATAACGGTATTGCAGTTGGCTGTGTCTTTGAACATAACTATGAAAGCGAAACCTTGACTTTTTACACCTGAAACAAAGACTGAAAACTTTTGCTACCTGTGGCCTGTTGAAAACTAGTCAAGACGTGATAATGTAACAATCGTTGGATAAAACTAGACTTACCAGTGCCGTAGCCAGACCAAACGGCCAACCGAGGCAGGCGGGAGTTGCTAGGGGGGTTCGGGGGCATGCCCCCCCCGAGAAATTTTGAACTTTAGTCTCTCGGAAATGCGATTTGCAGCGTTTTCTGGGCCTTTCGGTAACTTTTTTTCGAGTTAATTTAAGTGGAATTTAAAAAGCAATAATCAGAAACAAGCTACATAATCTGGGTGACCGTTAACCTCGCCAATGGTTTTGATCAGTATTTGTTCAAAAAAAATTTGAGTTAACGTACGTAGCCCCTTGAGATCGATGATATGGTAATTTTTTCATAGTATATTGACTGAATTGCTGAATTCTTTGTAATATCATGATGCGTTAAAAATATCCGATGATCGCTTATGTAAAATATAAATGATCGACGAAATTCGTCAAAATTTTACCGAGGCGAGTGCCTCGGTTGGCCTCATACTAGCTACGGCGCTGCTTGCCACAAGTCGACCTCACGTGTTTCTTAGCGAGCGGAGCGAACTTTTTAGGCCGCGAGGCGGCCAAGCGAGCGACGAAGTCGCAATAGGTCGTCCTTCGTCTTGCGCCATATTAAATAGGACGAAGGATAAAACATGATATCCTTGTGATTACGTGAAAGAATATGTTTTGTCCATATTTTTAATCTCTATAGATCTACACTTCGAAAAGTTTTGTTGACAACTTGAGTCAAAAGTCGCTCGAAGAGACACTATTCTGTTCATTATTAAGGCCAAATAAGGGAGAACCCCTGGGACTCAGGCCGGTTCAGTAAACATGCGTCTGGTATTTTTTATCATCTGGCAACAAAGATAATGTAGAACAACAGCAACAAAAACAGATAATCTGAATCTTACTGATAATCTTAAAAGTTTATTTTGCTACTTGTGGCTTGTTCAAAACTAGTCAGGGCGTGATGATTTAACAATCGTTGGGATAAAATATGATGTTCTTGTGATTATGTGTTGTCCATATTTCTAATTTCTATAGATCTACAGGTCGAACAATATTACTGACAACTTGAGTCAAAAATCGCTCAAAGAAACAGTATTCTGTTTATTAGGGCGCCTTATTCGGGACTTAATTGATTCCGACAAAAAGTCGAAGAACCTCGCAGATAATCAGTACACTGCAGCCGAGAAGCAAGCCTATATTACCACCAAGTTCACCTGAAATTGTAGAAACGGACGCGATCATTTGGTATTAAAGCTTTTGTTTTCCTTTGTTATGCCAAGAGCCATAATAGGACAGAGAGGGACACTCAGGGCGTTGATCGGGATATCTTAGTCCCAAAAAAGTTATTTTTAGAACTATGCGGACCATGCGAAAACAGTTTCCGGTAAACTGGCTCACTTCCGGAAGACTCGCTTTCACGTTTTCAGGGCGCCAAAGCGAGGCAGCGTCAACAAATAAAAAAAATGGCGGCACAAGTGGTAGGACGATGTGAAGTTGATAAATTGGCCTTCTTCAACAAAGAACCTACCATAGAAACTGCTTAAAACTTCTACACAAAAGGGTCCTTTACAAGCAACGGTAGAAATCGGTAAAAGCGACCGCGTGACCATCGTTTTTGTTTGAACAGCTGGAAAGAGGACAAGTAGCATTGCGGCCCGGATAAGCGTTGAAGACAAAATGCGCGGGTCCTACAAAGACGACCGTACAAGCAACCATGTGGACGTATTTTCTCTTGAAAGAGGAAGGAAAAGAACGTATAAAGGTTTCCAGTATTTTTGTCACGGACATGACCGGGAATCTTGTGGAACACACCTTTGCCTGCTTGACTGATATTTTGTTCCGCACTTCACATTGGACAATTAGCAATTCTTTAATGAACACGAGGTTAATAGAAGCGGAGGTTAATGTTCCTAAATCAGTAAAGAAACCAAAAAGCTCAATTTGATTGACGGATCAAATCATGCGTGGAAATCGGTAAACAATAGGTTTCATCTTTACAGAATTTTCAAACATTGCAAATCAAATCGGAAACAATAGCCTATATGGGTTATATGGAATCGCCAGAAGTTTAAATTGTACTTTCAAGCCTAAGAAGAAAAGTAGAGCTTTGTTTTCATTCGTCGACTCGCCAAGTTAGAGGAAAAAGGTTTTTTGTGCAGCTAATTTGTGCTGTTCTTTGTAAGTGCAGACAATGGTGGCCCGGTTGCTTGAGGTAAGGAGCCGTTTCTCTGTAGTCTTCTCTGTCCTGTTTAATTGAAATCTCGAGCTTTCGTTAACATTTGCTTTCATTTTTTTTTCTCATAAGTCAGTTGAATTTGATTTCGGGGGAAAATTTGTCTTTAAAGGAAATGTTGAGTTCACCCACCCCTTCTACTCGATTAAACTGTAATGGTCAACATTCCATCGAGCAAAAAATATTGAAACTTTGAAGTATTTTCATACCTTCGAAAGAGTGGACCCTAGGATTTTGCCAAATTCTGAAAGGTTCTTACTCTAAAAAGAATTAGCAAAACAAGGAGCTCACGAATTATTTACTCGCGAGGTTAAAACACTATCACTGAGTGTGTATCCTGGAACCGATTTTTGATTGTAAAAACTTTATTTGTGTAAGGTTATTTGTGTTTTTCATGTTGTAAACGGTGTTGAAATAAATACGACAGTATGATAATCTCATCTGAAGTTTGCTTTACCAAGCCTCATATTTTCCCCATACACCTGTAATAATTAACCTTTACAGATCCTGCACCACAATCTATGGGTAAGATTTCCATACAACCCCAAACATTTGTTATGTGTCTTAAATAATATATGCTTGCTGCATGCATAATAAATGTAGGGGTTTGGATGCAAAGGACCTTTTGATGTTGTGTTTGCCACTTATTGATCCAGCAAGTTTTGTCTACTTTAGTAAGCACTCATGGTGTTAGGTGTCGGCTGCTGAATGTAGTCTTTTTCTTTTTTTCTCTATAGAAAGCACTCAAAAGTGTTAAGAATATAAACTACTGCAATAAGTGCAAGCTGTGTATAGCTTCTTGTTTATGATTATGTCTTATTTCTTGTACCTCCCCTCCTCAGTGAAAGCCTAATTAACTCATTTTCTACATTGTATGGTATGCAGACCCCATATTAAGCAGACACCCTGTATTCAGCAGTCGAATAGCTCAAAATGTGGCAAAACATTTCTTTCCACAATTTAAGAAAAACAAACCAGTATTTAGTGGATATCTCTAATTAGCAGAAAGGAGCAAAGTTTGTGTGGATGTCCCCCCAAATTCTAAAAATTATACAGGTTTTTTTTTTATTTATAACAACCTTGTATACATAAAAATAGGTGGTAAAAAGAAGGATGAGTGAGGGTGCAAAGAGAGAAGAACTGAGTCCTTATGCCAGGCTGGCTCCCTCCCTGAAGATATAACATAAAATACAACATGTAAAGGTTTCATAAAACTGGTACATCATTTTTATGTTGTGTGTTGTGTGTCTCTCTTCAGCTTGAAAATCTGTAAGCGAGAGTATTTGAGCAGCAAAGTTGTGTGAGTTGCGAGGGCGCAAATTCAAATACGCTACTCAAATACTCTCGCTTACACATTTTCAAGCAAAAGAGAGACTGCTTGCAATCTATATGTCTTTCAATGTCTGCCAACTTTTCTGTTGTTTTCTGACAGGTTGAATTGAAGGAACAAGAATACTAGCAATCATGAATTCTCTTTTAAGATCTCTGCATGACCTTGCCATGGAATTGATACTGGGGAAAATAATGTACAAGTTTGACAAACAGTGCAAGTTCTATATTTTGGGGCAAGGGAGCACTTATTTATTTATTTATTTATTATTTTTTATACTTCTTTTAAACTGTGTGGCTGCCAATACATTTGGGATTTGAAATTTGAGGAATACTGGGAAGAGTGTGACCAACTGAGTGACACACACATTATTGTGAAAGGTTTGAACCCAGGAGTCATTTCAAAAGTATGTTGAGTTTGATCGTCCGCGTGAACGTAGTCACTGTCAACAACAACAGTCCTATTCAGGACTACGTTCACCTGGATGATCAAACTCAACTTACACATGTTATTGTACACACTACATTTAATATTAATTTGTCTCCTTCTAGATGCTTTTCTCTACATTGCCTCTTTCAAGCCATGGCATGAATAGATGCAATTGATTCAGTCACACACTATGTTTTATCGCTCCAGAATGTTTCTCTCAATGCAATCCTGGCATGCAGGTGCATAAATTGATTAACTCACCAATGAAAGAAACTTGACCTAATTAAGAGGTCAAGGTGTGACCAAAGGTTTTATTTTAATGTGATACTGCCATTTTTAACTTAAACGCTTCCTCAATGAAGGTCATATTCTCAAATACTGATCAGCTTAACTGATAATAACAGCCTCAATTTCCTGTGATGTCTTAGTGGTTGCATGAGGCCTGATCAATCATAATGTGCAGGCCAGCAACATGTGAATTTATTAGACTATTTAAAGAGAAAGATTGGGGTGTCATGGTGGATTAAAAGCAAAAGATCACACAAACTTGCTCTGCTTTAAGAGCATCAGAAATGCAACATTAATATCAATAAAGTCAATGTTTAAACATGTTGAAATGCAAAAAGGTTCTCACTTTACTATTGTCTGCATTATACCTCTGATTGGTTTAGGCAGCAAAATTCAAGAAAAATTTGCAAAGCAGCATGTATATGAATCCTTATAACAAAATCTTATGACTCTGAATAAAACAGATATCCCATGCATTACGTCTGGAACATAAAATCAATGTAAAGTTTTCTTCAGTTGGCTATAATGTTTGCAGCTCTAATGATTGGTTGGAACCTTTTACCAAAAAGAAAATACCCCTTAAAATGGGTATGGATACATTTATTTTTGAAAACACTGTTTCTCTGAAAATATGGTTAGAAACTTTTCAAACATACTGAGCTATTCATCTGCTTAACATAGGATGTAACTTTTAATATCGGGTCCGCTTAAATATACAGGTTTTGCCATACACTATTATAGGTTTGTATTTTTTTCTGTGTGGGAGGGGGTAAAAAAAATAAGAGACAACTCAGTAAGAAGCTATAAACAGCTTGAACTTATTGCAGTAGTTTTTATTCTTAATACTTTTGAGTGCTTTCTATAGCGAATAAAAGAAAAGACTACATTCAGCAGCTGACACCTAAAAACATGAGTGCTTACTAAAATAGAGAAAACTTGCTAGATCAATAAGTGGCAAACACAACATCAAAAGGTCCTGTGCATCCACGAATGCCTGTGGTACGATTTGCATTCAAACCCCTACATTTATTATACATACAGCAAGTTTACATTATTTAACACGCATAATGAATGCTTGGGGTTGTATGGACTGATCAATACCTACACATTGTGGTGCAGGATCTGTAAAAGTTAATTATTACAGGTGTATGAGGAAAATATTAGGCTAGGTAAAACCACATAAAGTAAATAAACGCCACATGAGATTATCATACTGTCGTATTTATTTCAACATAATGAAAAAACACAAATAACCTTACACAGAAGCATTACGACAGAGTTATACGCTTCGGGGTTATATGCTTCTGCCTTACACAAATAAAGCTTTTACAAGCAAAAATCGTTTTCAGAATTCAGTGATCTTTGTGGTGTTTTAGCCTCTCGAGTAAAAAATGAGATAGCTCGGTGTTTTGCCAATCTTTTTTAGAGTAAGAACCTTTCAGAATTCGGCAAAATCCTAGGGTCCATTTTTTTGAAGGTAAGGAAGACTTCAAAGTATTCAAGAACGTTGTCCGATGAACTTTACTGAGCAGTATTTTTCGCTCGATGGAATGTTGACAATTACAAATTGAATAGAAGAGGTGGTTTCTGTGTAAACTCAACATTTCCTTCAAAGGCGAATTTTCCCCAGAAATCAAATTCAACTTGTGACAAAAAAAAATTAAAAGCAAATCTTTACGAAATTTCGAGATTTCAATGTCAAGAAAACTACAGAGAAACGGCGCCTTACCTCGAGCAACCAGGACACCATTGTCTACACTTATTAAAAAGCAACACAAATTTGCTGCACAAGAACCCTTTTTTCCTAACTTGGCGAGTCGACAGATGAAAACAAAGCTCTTCTTTTCTTTACAGGCTGGGAGGCAGAATTTAAAGTTCTGGCTATTCCATATAACCCATTATTAGGCCATTGTTTGCGAAAGGATTTTTAACTGCGATTTGATTTGCAATGTTTGAAAATTC